ATTAGGATTGAGTGTAGTTCCTTGGGAGTTAAGTAGTTTCTAGTAATGCAATGCTATAATCACATTAAAAAAATTTGAAAATTCTCTGCTAAAAAATCACTGAAAAAGTTGATGGAGAGATAAAATATAAATTTTTAAAATTTTAAGGTGAACTACCTTCACATTCACTGAAACAAATCTAGAGCCTTAAGTGACATTACTCAGTTTTACCCCTTATTCTATTAATAAAATTTAGCAGAAAATGACTTTGTTGTTGTAAATATTTTCTGAGCAATATTTTCCAGAGTGTGTTAAAAAATAATATTAAAGAATATGGAGGCTTGGGTCCATCCTGCCACTAGCAGACACCCAATGGAGCTCAGGTCTAGCCCAGATCCTCCTCTGCCCACCTGCATGAGACCCAGGCCCAGGGTAGGTCTGGGTCTGCCAACCCCCCACCCCCACCTAGGAGCCCAGGCCTAATCCACCTCCATCTTGGGACACTCAATAATACAATCAATAACTTAGACTTAACTGACATGTAAAGAACATTTCATCCTTCAACAAGCAAATATACTTTCTTCTCAACAGCACATGGATACTTCTCTAAAATAGACCATATAATATGACACAAAACAATTTTTAGCAAATACAAAAAATAGAGATACTACCCTGCATTCTATCAGATCATAATGGAATGAAACTAAAAAACAATGACAAAATAAAAAATAAAAGCTACTCTAATACCTGGAGACTAAATAATATGCTACTGAATGATCAATGGGTTGCAAAAGGAGAAGATTCAAAAATTCTTAGAGGTAAATGAGAACATTGATACAACATATTGAAATCTTTGGGACACTATGAAGGCAGTACTAAGAGAAAAGTTTATTGCATGGAGTTCATTCCTTAAAAGAAGAAGAAATCAACAAATAAATGACCTAACATTACACCTCAAATCCCTAGAAAAAAAAGAACAAACCAACACCAAAATTAGTAGAAGCAGGAAATAATTAAAATCAGAGCTGAAATCAATGAAATTGAAATGAAATAAACAATTGAAAAAATGAGCCTAGATGCAAAAATTCTCAATAAAAACAAAAAATTGGTTCTTTGAAAAAATAAATAAACTTGATAGACCCTTAGCCATGCTAACGAAGAGAAGGAGAAAGAAAACTCAAATTACTAACAGACATTATGAAAAAGAAAATATCACAACAGACACTACAGAAATACAAAAGATATTAGAAACTATTTTGAAAACTTGTACTCCAATAAAATAGAAAATATCGAAGGCATCAACAAATTTATAGAGTCATATGGTTCTCCCAAATTGAATCAGGATGATATACACAATTTAAACAGATCAATTTCAAGCAGTGAAATAGAAGATGCCATCAGAAGCCTGTCAACCAATTAAAGCCTAGGACCGGATGGATACAAAGCTGAGTTCTACAAGACCTATAATGCAGAACTAATATCAATACTCCTCAAATTATTTCATGAAATAGAAAAAGAAGGAGCACTTCCAAACTCTTTCTATGAGGCCAATATCACCCTGATTCCAAAGCCAGACAAAGACACATCAAAGAAAAAAAAAACTTCAGACCAGTATCTTTAATGAACATAGATGCAAAAATTCTCAATAAAATTCTGGCATCTCGAATACAAAAAAAGAAAAAAAAATCTAAAAGATAGTACACCTTGATCAAGTGGATTCATCCCAGGGATGCCAGGTTGGTTCAACATACAGAAATCAATAAATGTAATTCATCACATCAATAGACCTAAAGATAAGAATCATATGATCATCTCAATAGATGCAGAAAAAGCATTCAACAAAATACAGCACCCCTTCATTTTCAAAACACTAGAAAAACTAGGGATAACAGGAACCTATCTCAACATGGTAAAAGCTATCTATGCTAAACCCCAGGCCAACATCATTCTAAATGGAGAAAAATTGAAAGCATTCCCTCTAAAAACTGGAACAAGACAGGGATGCCTTTTTCACCACTTCTATTTAACATAGTTCTCAAAACATTGGCCAGAGCAATTAGGCAGATGAAAGAAATTAAAGGGATATAGATAGGAAAAGAAGAATTCAAATTAGTACTATTTGCTGATGATATGATTCTATACCTAGAAGACCCAAAAAACTCCACCAGAAAACTTCTAGAACTAGTAAATGAATTCAGGATACAAAATCAAAACCCATAAATCAAAGGCATTTCTGCATATCAGTGACAAATCCTCTGAAAGGGAAATGAGGAAAATTGCCCCATTTACAATAGCCTCAAAAATAATAAAATACTTGGAAATCAACTTAATGAAAGAGGTAAAAGACCTCTACAATGAAAAATACAGAACACTAAAGAAAGAAGTTAAAGAAGACCTTAGAAAATGGAAATATCTCCCTTGTTCCTGTGTAGGCAGAATTAATATTGTCAAAATGACCAAACTACCAAAAGCACTATACAAATTTAATGCAATTCCAATCAAAATCCCAATGACATTCCTCACAGAAATAGAAAAAGCAGTCATAAAATTCACCTTGAAAAATAAGAGACCCAGAATAGCTAAAGCAATGCTTAGCAGGAAGAGTGAAGCAGGTGGCATCACTAAACCTAGAAGATCCAAAAATTCCACAAGAATACTTCTATAACTAAGAATATATGAATATATATGAATTCAGCAAAGTAGCAGTATATAAAATCAACACAGATAAATGAAAGACATTTCTGTATGTCACTGACAAATCCTCCGAAAGGGAAATGAGGAAAACTACCCCCATTTACAATAACCTAAAAAAAAATACTTGGGAATCAACAAAAAAGGTAAAAGAACTCTACAATGAAAACTACAGAACACTAAAGAAAGAGATTAAAGAAGACCATAGAAGATGGAAAAATCTCCCTCGTTTTTGGACAGGAAGAATTAAATTTGTTAAAATGACCATACTACCAGAAACACTATACATATTTAATGTAATTCCAATCAAAATCACAATGACATACCTTATAGAAATAGAAAAAGCAGTTATGATATTCATTTGGAAAAATAACAGATCCAGAATAGCTAAAGAAATTCTTAGAAGGAAGAGTGAAGCAGGTGGCATCACTATACCAGACCTTAAACTATTCTACAGAGCAAAAGTAACAAAGCCAGCATGGTATTGGTGCCAAAATAGACTGGTAGACCAATGGTACAGGATAGAGGACACAGTGACAAACCCATATAACTACAGTTATCTTATATAAGACAAAGACACCAAGAACATATATTGGAGAAAAGATAGCCTCCTCAACAAATGATGCTGGGAAAACTGGAAATCCATATGCAACAAAATGAAATTTTGTCTCTCACCATGCACAAAACTCAACTCTAAGTGGATCAAGGACCGGACCGAGGAATTAAACCAGAGACCCTGTACCTAATACAAGAAAAAGTAGGCCCAAATCTCCATTATGTCAGATTAGGTCCTGACTTCCATAATAATTCTTCTATAGCACAGGAATAAAAATCAAGAATAAATAAATGGGATGGATTCAAACTAAAAATCTTCTTCTCAGCAAAACAATCAATCAGTGAGGTGAATAGAGAGCCTATATTTGGGAAGCAAATTTTTACCACACACATCAGATAGAGCATTAATCTCTAGGGTGTATAAAAAACTAAAAAGAATCTTCATATCAAAACAACAAATAACCTAATTAATAAATGGGCTAAGGAATTGAACAGACACTTCTCACAAGATGATATACAACCAATCAACAAATATATGAAAGACTGTTCAACATCTCTAGCAATTAGAGTAATGCAAATAAAAAAAAATTCTAAGATTTCATCTCATTCCAGTCAGAATGGCAGCTGTTAAGAATACAAACAACAATAAGTGTTGGTGAGGATGTGGAGGAAAAGGCACAGTCATACATTGCTGGTGGCACTGCAAATTAGTGCAGCCAATATGGAAAGCAGTATGGAGATTCTTTGGAAAACTGAGAATGGAACCATTTGACCCAGCTATCCCACTCCTCGGGTCTGTACCCAAAGGACTTAAAAATAGCATACTGTAGAGACACAGCCACATCAATGTTTATAGCAGCACAATTCACAATAGCTAAACTGTGGAACCAACACAGATACCCTTCAGTAGATGAATGGATAATGAAAATGTTGTATACATACACAATAGAATGGTATTCAGCATTAAAAGAGAATATCCAACTCCATCCTTTTACCTGCAAATACCATGATTTTAATGTTGTGCTAAGTGAAGTTAGCCAATCCTCCAAAACCAAATGCCAAATGTTTTCTCTGATACAAGGAGGCTGATTCATAATGGGGTTGTGTGTGGGGGGGAACATGGGAGGATTAGATGAACTCTAGATAGGGCCAAGGGGAGGGCAGGGAAATGTGGGGGTTCAATGGGGTAGGAAAGATGACGGAATGAGATGGACATCATTACCCTAAGTACATGTATGAAAACACGAATGGTGTGACTCTACTTTGTGTACAACCAGGGATATAAAAATTGCCCTCTATTTGTGTAATATGAATTGAAATGCATCCTGCTGTCATATATAACAGATTAGAGTTTTAAAAAAAGAGTGTTGCAAAATCTGAGGTGATTCTATAAGGGAGGGTCAGCATTAATTTGTGTGTATAGATCTGCCATATTTGTTTATTTTTAAAAAATTACATGATTTTACAATATATTATTTTTATTTAGAATTTCAAGTGTCTGAAATACTTAACATTTTATTTTTAAAATTAGTGGACTCTTGTTTGTTTAAGCAATAGTAACCAGCCATTTTACAAAACTAGAGCTCACAAAACAACAACTTTTACGACAAACTTCTTGCAATATTCTCTCTAGGACAAATAAACATAAATTAAAAACAGTGTGGTCAGTGAGAATCATAGACTTGTTTGCAAGCTATTTTTGGACTAATTGTGGTGCATAAATTGTGTCTTTGTATGAGATTGACATATTTTCCTATTATCACTTTCTATTTCAGAGCATTGGGGAATCATCAATGTCTATTGTATTAAGTCAGCTACTACCTATGATTAAGCCTTCAACCCAGAGGACCAATGATGACTATAACCTTGAGGAGCTGCTGATCCTCCTCATATATATTCATTCTGTCACTGGAGAATTTGTGGTGGACAAAGACCTGGGAGATACTGAAGAAAAAGTGAAGAAAGCATTGGCTCAGGCTTTTTGTGAGGAGTCCGAGTTGTCACCTTTGCTTCAAAAAATTACAGGTCAGTGTTCGACAAAGTTATAGGACATAAACACCAATGATATAGAAAACAGAGTTAAAAGTAAAGGCTATTTCAAGAAGAGGATATAAGCATCTCCCTTGGCATCATTCAGAATCTCTTGAGGCCTGAGGAATGCCAGCCACCTGTAGAGTCAGGTTTTCACTGTGGTGTTTTTCTTTTCTAGTTGTGGTAGTGAAATGGCTTTCTTTCTAAATGAGCATCAGAATTCATTTTCCTTATGAGAATAATGTTGTATTTAAGGAAAAAAAGAAAATGTGGCACATCTTATACTAAGGGTTTCTATTGCATGTTTTTCTTGAGATTGTCATTTCAAACTTAACACTGTTTTTTTTTATTAAGATGTTATACAATGTTACAGGGTTGAAAATTGCCATTTTCAGGAATAGTCTCATATTTTGTCTTTTCATACTTCATTTCAATTTGAATTAATTGTTATTATCCCAAATGATGCCCTAACATTACAGTAAGTAGTTTATGTCAGTTTGGGGGAAATATATAATTAAATAACATAACATCTGTTTTCATTTCCAACAATACCTATGATATAACTCATAAAAACACCCATTTGTGTATGTTGTGTCAAATTCAAACTAGTAGTTTGGTTAAAACATATTTCTATTCCTATGGATTGAGCCCAAGTCTGGGAGTGAGAAGTTATTAAAACTTATGTGTAAAACATCAGTACTTTAAAAACAGCAAATTTCCCTTTGTTCATGTGTACGTGTGTATGTGTGTGTGTGTGTGTGTGTGTGTTCAGATGCATACAGACCTCTTCATTCAGAAAGGCTCAACTGAAGAAGACTGAATATCCTCCACTTTCCCCTTGTCCTGTGTTGGTTCTCCCTGGGAAAGCCTCCAGACTATTCAGAACTGTGTGCCATAAACCATGGTGTCTCCTGCATATGTGCTTTATTTTGTGCCCACTGCTAACCTTTCCTGTGGTTGGTTTTGGAAAGTGAAACCCTGATGAGATGGAAACCAAAGTTTCCACAGAAATGAAACATTTCCTTGCTTAGAATAGAGACTGTTGGCCAGCTTCAAATCTACTTGAGCAAAACTTGTGGAATTTGTTTCCATTTCATTAAGTTCAGCACTATACGTGATAAAATGGGTTTGTTTGGCTATAAATGAATATTGACTTAAGAAGATTTAATATGGTTTGTACAGTACTTAGAACAGAGCTTTAATTTAAAGTAAATTTTAATGCTAGGTGAATTTAATTGGAAGTTCTTCTTAAGAGCATAATTTCAGAAACAGACAACAAAGACGATATATTTTAACTGAGGTCATTTGGATAGATTTTTATAACGTTTGTATGTTTCCATGTTATTTTTGGAAGTAATGTCATGCTGTAAGAGTGTTCTTTTAGCATTCACTAAAGGTGTTCATTGACACAACAGTTCCTTTTTTATTAGTTTCTTTATTCATGGTTGTTCAGAATATTGCATTTTCTTGCTTTTAAAATATGTCTGAGTTCATGTTTATATTAGAAAAATTTTTGTAAGCTCAAAATTGAAGATTAAAAAACAAGAATTTGTGGAAATTTTAGTATCTTTAAATTTCAGAGATATTTTATAATATTAAGTATACATTTATGCCTGGATTAACTTGGAGTGTACAGTTTAAACAGTGTGGAGAAGTTGTGTTACTTAACTTTCACATAAGTGAACTAACCACTCAAACAGACGCATGCACATGCATGTACACACACACACACAGAGAGAGAGATGTTTATCAGCCTCTGTAGACACCAACAGGACTTTATTTCTGAAGACAGACTTTTTAATGGCCAGTGTGGATATGCCTCTTATTAAATATGTTGAGAAGCCAAATTTTCTAAATAGAAGGGTTTATATTTACAGTTAAGATGGCTGAGGAGAATGTGGTACATCTTGGGATAAAAAGTAATAGCATAATATTGGGTGATTCAGTTTTGTGAAATATATTGGGATAATTGAATTACCTTTCAAATGTGCTCAGCATATCCTGGAACTAGGTTAACCTGGCTTTTATGAAGAACTTGCCTACAATGTTGGGTTTACATTATTCCAGTGTACATTCTTGACTTTCATGTTATTAATGGCAGAATTTATTTTATGCCTTGTGCATATTTTGTGGTTGATGAAAATTTTGTTAAGCATTTTTGAAAACAATTAATACAAGTACTCTACTTTTTATGTGTTTCTGCAGTTTTCCCTCTTAACTGTGGATAGGATCAAGAAAGTAACCCTTTTTCTATACTTCTCAAGATTAAGACCATTGTAACCTTTGAAGTTACCATATTCTGTAACTCATGGTTGGGTATATATATTGTTTTACACCATGTGTGCTCAACTGTCCCATGAGGTTCTGAATGGAGAATTAATATTCTCATTAATATTTTGGATATTGCCTGTGCTTTTTTATCTGTCTATATTAGCTACTTGTAGATGTTTTCCATACCTTCCTGTTTTCATACATGAATCCTCTTCATTTTGGCACTGTTATAAAGAAATTGAAATATTATTTCCAGCCATTGAAATCTAACAGTTATCTAGTTTTTTGAAGCAGAAGTAGAAAATATAAATTCTGTTGATTTCAGTAATATCTCTTGACAATAATTGTCCTGTGTTTAAAATTCATAGTTCCCTTTTTTTCTGATCATTATGTAATTTATTTTTGACAGTTTCTTTCATTTTTCTGTATTCTTTCATCAAGTAGAAAGGGCAATAAGAAGTTGTGATTGGCAAAACAAAAACTTAACATGTCCGTCAATGACATTTTCTTTTTAATCTGTTCTCTTTATAATAGCTACTTTGGGGGATGTTTCTAGAGTGGTGAGCAAAAAAAAAAAAAATTTCCCCAACTCACACAAAATAACAAGGATTAGCTCTCTGGAGGTTGGGAGTGGGGAGCTGTAAAAAGAAAAGTGGTACAGCCTAAATATGCTGATTAATGTTATGCTTTCTCAGTCCTGCTAAGTTCAAAGAGAGTATCAGTTTCTGTATACGTTAATGTTTGCAGGGCAGTCACAAGACAAAACAAAGGAAAACCATTTGAACTTCAGAGAATGAAATCAAATGCTATTTTTAAAGGTCTGTATAGGCTTTGGAATGTCATCATACAGAGAGATCTATCAGAGAAAAATGCAGGGTTTGGATCCTTGATTGAAAGTCCAGGCTCTGTTGTTTCCTAGCTGTGTTGTTTGCTTGTGGGCGAATCACCCGTCTTGAACTTGACACGAAACATAGGTGCCATATTGACTGCTGTGATTTTACAGAGAATAAAATGATGTTATGTGTGTGAACTAATTTGGGGCCCATTTGGGATTGTCAGTCGGTAATCATTATTTTGATAGCGTTTCAAGCCTTTCACCTGGTGTGTGCACAGATAAGACTGCAGTGGTCAGAGGCAGTCCTCCTACCCAGCTGACCCTTGGACTGAGGTGAAGCAGCAGCTTGGCACACCTGTAGCCAGTTAAGAGCAAACCAGTTCTCTAAGGCAGGTTGGTCAGAAAACTCTGAATCAAGAAACAGAAGCAAAACTTCCATATTATTTTTGACACAGGAAACTATTTGGAAGATTTTTAAAATTTATTTATTTATTCTAATTTGTTATATATGACAGCAGAATGCATTTCAATTCAGAGTACACATATAGAGCACAATTTTTCATGTCTCTGGTTGTACACAGAGTCACACCATTCGTGTCTTCATACATGTACTTAGGGTAATGATGTCCATCTTTCCTACCCCCATGCCTCCTCCCTTCCCTTCCCTCCCCTTGGCCCTGTCTCGAGTTCATCTAATCCTCCTATGCTCCCCGCACAACCCCATTATGAATCAGCCTCCTATATTAGAGAAAACATTTGGCATTTGTTTTTTTGGGATTGGCTAACTTCACTTAGCATAATATTATCTAACTCCATCCATTTACCTGCAAATGCCATGATTTTATTCTCTTTTAATGTTGAACAGCATTCCATTGTGTATATGTACCACATTTTCATTATCCATTCATATGTCGAAGGGCATCTAGGTTGGTTCCACAGTTTAGCTATTGTGAATTGTGCTGCTATAAACACTGATGTGGCTGTGTCCCTGTAGTATGCTGTTTTTAAGTCCTTTGGGTATAAACTGAGAAGTGGGATAGCTGGGGAAAATGGTGGTTGGAAGATTTTTTTGGTACAATAATTTTTATTACTCATTGATTTATTTTCCCAGCATTTTTATGGTAGCTTTAAAGACAAAGTCAATAAAGGCCAGATCTATTGAGTTAGGCATAGTGTTAAGCAAGAGAATGAATGATCTGAAGTATCTCATAATTCTGTTATTTCATGATAGAGGCATGATAATACCATATAAATTGTCATTTACGTTTATTAAACTCTTATTTGACTTCCTGTTGATAATCTGGGATTTTCAATTGTCGTCATTGCCTTAGGATTGCACCCAGATGTGTGCAACAGAAAATGTACCAGATTAACTTAATAAATCAGGATTTATTTTCAGCCAAAAGCACAGAGACAGGCAGACCTCAGGGTCTTACTTCCTTTTTCAGTGTCTTGAAGATGTAGTTTTTTCATGGTCACAAGGGGAGCACTTCTGCTGAGGCATCGTGCCCATGCATTGGGCAAGAAAGATGAGATGAAGGAAAAAGGAATATGTTAGCTGAGTCTGTCCCCACACAGTAGTTTTTCTAATAAAAATAATAGTTTTCTTGAAAACCTCACTTAGAAGACTTGTATCCTTGGCTAGAATTGCATTGCACAGTTACCGCTAGCTACAAGACAGTCTTATGAGTGCATATATTGTCTTGAACAAAGTTAGGGTTTTCTTAGGAAAAAAAGAATGTGAGATTGGATATTAGGTAAGAAACTGGTATTTGCTATGTATCTTCAGTATCTTCATTTTAGTAAAATGACATGGAAATTTATTTTAAAGAATATACTAAGATAATATTGTGCTGGCTCATTGGTCTTATATACCAACATTTTCAAC